CTTGTGAGATTATTGTTTTGTCATCACGTAGAGGCGGCCAGGGCTCATGGAACAGAGGCAAGGCCGCGCTGTACAGAACAGCAGTTGAGGTCGCCACCCATCCCGGCTTTCCCATGAAATCCTCTCTTTTTAAGGTAGCTCTACCGAAATGTCTGCAAGTCTTTCCAGGACAACACACACAAGTCCTGGCTTTTGTCAAGTTTTGCGACAATCCGCCACTCGGGACAATTCCTCTGTAGCCCTCCCCTTTTTTGCTATTACGAAATATGATTCGTCCTATCACTTCCCGTTTTTGTTTTGTACCCCAGGAGGTGGCAACCCGTCACTGGAGCGCTGCTTTCTGCATCGCTGTCTAGAGTTGGCTACGTTAACTCACAGCCCTCTTCCCCCGTGGAGCGCGGCCATCCTGGGGAAACGGTGGACTCCAAAATCTCATAAAACACGGGGTACCACAGAGACCTCACTGCGTGTATACACAGAGCAGAGTACCAGAGACCTCACTGCGTGCATACACAGAGCAGAGTACCAGAGACCTCACTGCGTGTATACACAGAGCACAGTACCAGAGACCTCACTGCGTGTATACACAGAGCACAGTACCAGAGACCTCACTGCGTGTATACACAGAGCACAGTACCAGAGACCTCACTGCGTGTATACACAGAGCACAGTACCAGAGACCTCACTGCGTGTATACACAGAGCAGAGTACCAGAGACCTCACTGCGTGTATACACAGAGCAGAGTACCAGAGACCTCACTGCGTGTATACACAGAGCAGAGTACCAGAGACCTCACTGCGTGTATACACAGAGCAGAGTACCAGAGACCTCACTGCGTGTATACACAGAGCAGAGTACCAGAGACCTCACTGCGTGTATACACAGAGCAGAGTACCAGAGACCTCACTGCGTGTATACACAGAGCAGAGTACCAGAGACCTCACTGCGTGTATACACAGAGCAGAAGCCCAGTTAAAGCATACGTGGATAACAGCAAATCTCCCATCAGCTCATAATGTAGAAAGGACCCCCTGATAATTATCCATGTTGCGTGATTCGTGGGGAGCCAGGTAGGGGACAAGGTGGTTTTGATTAGCGTCAGCGAAGCCTTCCCGTCATGGAGCCCCACCTCACAGTTGCTCGTTCCACAGTGGAACAGCAACACATTTAGCATGAAACATGCAATACACCAAAGATAGGCAAATGGTCAAAAGTCTCGGAGGCAGAATCGCCGTTTGTCTTTTTCACATTTTTCACTGGGCAATGTTGTTGTTGCTGTTGCCGTATTTGCTTTTGTGGTATTCAACGCTGCCAAACGCCCCGAGGCCAACGGCGAATGTCAGGATCAGCGTCGACCACGGCGCCATCACTCCCTTCATCGCTCGGGGGCCCTGCACGGCATTATGCCGCCTACGCGTCAATACCTTTCGATAAAATAAAAAACTCGCGCACTAATGTCCACTCCTCATGCGCCGCCACCAGCAGCACAGACAGACAAACTCAAAACCGTGAGCCACCGTCTCTCCCACACTTTCTGGCCAATCAGTTGATGCCATTAAATTATTTTGCCTTAGCAGATTTCTCAGGGTGGGAAAGGTAATGTTTGTGTCTCGCCTTGGCCTCTGGGCCCCTGGGCTCGGACTCAAGAGCCTAAAGATTGCTGGCTCCGTAGCCTCGCGTGCCTCAATAAACGCTCCCACATCCCACCACCGAGATTAATTTTTCAAAAGCTCGCAAATAAATGCATTAATAATGCAGAGTGGCCAGAGCTGGACACAGGTTTAAACATATATAGGTCATATTGTCGTGACATTTGTATGATTAAAAAAAGTAATTAGCAGAGGATCGGAAAGGGCCTTAAACCCAGTGGATTGATCATAGGTGGTGATGATGATGATGACGACGATTCACCAATTGCGAATTTGGACAAATTTCACCATTTTCCTGCAGGATCTCAGCCTTCGCCTCAACGCGGCGGTGACATATGCCGAGACGCCATTTTATTTTTTATGAAGGAACAATAATAATTGTTGGAAATTTTGAAGAAAAAAAATCAACAATGAGCATATTACGCACACAAGGAACCCCCCCCCCCCCCCACAATTATGAACGTTTGCTCGTTAGCGTGAGCGCTGTGCTGAGAACCGTAATCACGCATTTAATTTCACGAGTGACATCATCATCACCCTCGGCAGTCCCAGAAACAAATCTCAGGTCTGGGCCTTGACACGCAGCCTGCAGCGTTTAATTACATTCCTCATTCACCTCTGCAGCCTCCGCGGCGCGCGGCGCTAACAGCCGCGGGGAAATGAAAGCGCGAGTTGGGTCCGACGCCATTCCGCCCGTCGCAGGAAAAGATGACGGTGGGCATTACGGCAGGTGTGACGTTGATTAAAGGTTACGTTTACTAAAGAAATACCAGATGCCGGGCGACTGTTTACTCCCGTGCATATTCCGAGTGCGCTCGCGTAGCCACAGCGTGCCATATTACGCCGAGGGTACCCACCGTAAATCATCGGCGGGCGTTAAAACTCCAAACCGATTTAATCATTTAAATGTACTGTCAGTTTCTCCTTGAAGGTTCTTGGCCATAGATCACGAAGCAAACCGCGGCTGCGCGCGCACGAACACGCCGCTCAGAATTCTGATGAACCTGCGACATGCATTAAGATTCCAGGCACATGCTCACTAACACACAAAAAAATCGCATAGCCTACGACCGACGCAGGATCGGCTGGAAGCAAAGAGCGGAGTGGAGCGAGCGGAGCTGGGTGTGCGACGAGCGCCTCATCTCCATATGGGCTCTCACCGTGCCGCAGAAAAAGGCAAAACGTGCAGAACAAAGGGCGATAATTAACCTTGGAATTTACCGCCTTTCGAAGATGCACGTCCGTAAATTGATTTACTTTTTGAGAAATGTCGTCGTGGCTGTTTATTTATTCTCACCATGCTTGTTTATCAAACAAACAAAAAACCCACGGAGCGCTGCGTTCACAGCCCACGTCAAATTCCCCCCAAACAAAGGGCGGTGTGCGCGTGTGGCCGTTCGCGGCGAAGAACTGCCGGCTTCAATTAAAAGGAGGCCTCGTTCAAATGTGCCCAAGATGAAAAGTTGAACCCCCCATAACAAACGTGCTCCCAACAAAGCTGCCAGGGAGGAGACTAAAGCGTGCCCGCGCTTTCGCTGAAACTTCTTTGTTCAGTGCGAGCGAGCGGTGGGCGTGAATTCAAAGATAATGAGTGATGCATCGCTGTGGGGAAGGGGCTGGGTGAGAGGCTGGGGTGGGGGGGAGTTTAGGGTGGTGCTAGCTACAGCTGTAGTCACACCATGCCAGGGAGCTCGCTCCGCACGATGATCGCCAGACCAATTGCGAACGGAACAGTCAACACTCTCGGAGGCGGGCATTGCCTGCGGAACGTGGGACGGCGGGGGAGGGCATTGAGAGGCTGCGAGTCAGCGGGAAGCGATTTTAATTAATAGGTGCAACTAAACAGCGGGCAGCTTCTTGGGCAAAGCGTTCGCGTTGTCGAGATGGATCGCCCGTACCGGTTTTCCGAGAGACCACGCAGCATGGAATTCGCGGGCCTAAGCAAAAAAAGGTGTCTGGCATTTGAACCTGCGGTCGGCCACGCCGCAGGAGAGGCTCCTGCCGTCGAGCCGACGAGAGGGCCGCTTTCATTTAACAACACAAAGAGGGGGGTGCGATGTAACGGCAACCCTCCCTTGCAGAGTTTGCGTTTGTACCGCAGAGACGCACGCCTGCAACGATTAGCGACGGAGGCCGCGTACACAAAGTTGGTTGCAAATGACAGGTGCGAGCGTTAGTCTGTCATTTCCCTTTAAAAAGAGCTCGTAACAGGGCATCGAAGTCACCTGTGGAATGGCATTGAACAGAACATTAACCCTTGCCGCAGCCCACATCTGCAAAAGCTGTCTTCCTACTGGATATCCAACATGAACATGCAGAGCATGAAGAATGTCTTACGTCATTATTTTTCTGTAATCAAAAAGAATGTCAGCTTGCCCGAGTGCCCGTCTGAGTCAAAGTCATTCATCCGACTTCATTTTGAACAAGCCCTGCAATAACACCAGTGTGTTTAAAACGCGATCGCTCGCCTGACGCACGCAGCATTAAATCCCATGGCTTGCAGCCTTGGCAGCAAAGCACACGGTCAAACGCACACTCACGCCATGTACCCACGCACATGGGGTACATGGCAAAAGATCCCGTGTAGCCTTAACAGACGTTAGGGGCAAGTGCTGTTAGCGAGCACCTATGAAGGCTGGCATGGCACACGAAGGGGTGGGTGGCCAGCATCATGCCCAGCTGCCTTTGTCTCCCTCGTGCCGAAGTTTACACATCGCATCAGGTACTCATTTGAGGCTGAGTCGACCTCGGGGAGGCCCGGGACCAGTTCAGATAAATCATCACTGGTATTAGCTGTGAGCGGGAATCGAACTTGGGTCGATGGATTTGTAGCACAGTGCTGTAACTGCTAGGCTATCGCCCCCCACACTACACACAAACATACCCAAAGACACACAAATCACACACACTACACACATACACACCACGTACCCACACACACACACGCCACGTACCCACTCACACACACACACACACGCAATAACACACACACCAAGTAACCACACACACGCTACGTGCCCATATGCACACAAACAACATTGCTGCCAGTTCAGTCAACAGGACCACAGTGACCGGACCAATGAGCCGAAGGCGAGACGCACGGTAGAAAAATCACATCACGGCAGCGCGCGGACGACTGGAGCCTCATGACCGTGGACCGCTTGATAGAGGGCGCGGAGAGCGACTGAATCATCGCTAAGGGGACCCGCTCGCGACGATAGCCCGCTGGCCTCCAACCCCACCCGCCACAAACAGCAATTGAACCGCGAGTGAAACAAAATCCCCGGGACCCCCCCCCCTCCCGCCCCCCCTCCCTCCCTCTCCCGAGATCGGCGTGCGGCAAGAGGCACCTGCTTCATGCGGTCGGGGCTCACGGCCGTCTGCGGCTGCAGCAGGGTGACGGGCTCCGGCTTGCTGGCGGCGGCGGGCATCTCGCGGATCTTCTCGGCGATGAAGTTGTGGACGCCGTTGAGCGACTCGGCCGTGCCCTGGATCAGTGCCACCCTCTCCGTCGTGCCTGCGGGGCGAGAGAGGCGGGGAGGTGGGCAATGCCGCGTCACAAATCGATCACGCGGGGGGGGGGGGGCACACTTTTCCCGACAATAATTTTCGCTGCTCTTGCTCGTCGCCCCACCCCCGGCCTCTACCCACCCCCCCCCCCCCCCCCAAAAAAAAAGAGAAACAATTAACAGGAATTCGGCATGTTTATTATTTCTGGAGTGGCCACATCAAACTGGTCCACAACATCCTCAAAGTGGCCAGGTTCACAAAGGGGAAACATCTGCGGTGTGTCGCTATGATGTAAACACTTCCGCCCGAGCCATTTCCTCTTACGAAGGTGACGAGTGAGGAGGGCCTTTGTCGGGGTGGGGCTCACAATCGAGCGAAACGCTCGACCATCGCCGGTTCTAAACTAAACTCTTTTTGTTTTACCAGGTAAGGCCCACTGAGCTGTATAGCTCTTTTTCAGAGGCGACCTGGCCACAAATGATTGCTCAACGAAGTGGCTTGTGGTGAGGAAATTTATAGCAGCCAAATACTCTGAACGAGAGTTGCTTCTGAACGTGGATGGAAAAAAAAACTGGAGGACCCTGAGAAAAGTCCACCACGCAACCACAAGGAGAGAGAGAGAACATGCAAACTCCAAATATACAGGCGTCACGGTCCAGATCAAACCCACGCCTTCCTGCATACCAGGTGAGGGAGATGACATCTCTCCACCACCGCTGCTGCTCGTTCCCGTTGTGTTGAGTCAACGTGATTGAACGACGTGAGCTAATGGAAGCTTCATCACCTTCCCCCAGTGGATGCTGCTCTAATCCTGGTGGCTGCGTTAACTGTTACCAATCTGCCGGACTTAAGCTATAAATCAGCGCGAGATTAATGACCCATAAGAGGCGTACGCGATGTAAACATTTGCGTTCCCTCTTCGCCTTGCACGGCCCACAAGGCCTAACAGTTCCACTGGGAGCCCTGGGGATTTTACTCCGCCGATGCAACCCCGCTCGCGCGAGCGACACGGCAAGGCACGCTGCCTGCAGGAGAAAGGCACAGCCGACGCTCCACGTACTGAGAGGAAAACACAGGAACGCCGCATAATTGGCTGCAGATGCAATAACACAATGAACAAAATGGCCTGCCCGCAATTAAATTACATAACCAGGAAGAACGATGGGTCTTTAACAAGAGCACGGCAATAGAATAAAGTACAATCCAGCAAACGACTCTTGCAATTGCCGGACTATTAATTGTAACCGCCTGAAATTGCTGCGAAATAAAACAAAAGAGAGAGAGAGAGATGTGACGACAGAGCGGCAGAGCGGGGGCGCTTTTTTCGCGTTCTTGATCCCGTCCACCTGGGGGCTTGCTGCCACCGCCGTCGGCGCGGGGGACGGCGATTGCCGTGACCTTGAGCCGTCGCGCCGGGCCCGCGTTGCCACACCGCTTTCGCAGGCGCTGCCAAGACTGACCATTACACGAGGAGCACACAACCACCGCTGTTGGTGCCGGGGGGGGGGGGGTGCAGTCAAGTCTGGGGGCGGCCACTAATTGCACCCTAATTGCCTGTAAATGCCTGAATTTGGCTCAAATTACACAACTCCTCAGGCAGGTCAGCAGGAAGTCCGTGCCGCGCTTGAACGGACGCCCGTGCCATTGTGCGTGCGTGCGTAACCCCACACCCCCCCCCCACGCGCACGTGCACGTTCACGCTCCGGGCGTCCATATGCGCGCCGTGAGAGAGTACGCGCGTGAGTGCGCGCGCGTGCGGGAGGGAGCGAGCGAGCAAGCGGGGTTGGGAGAGATGGGGCGGGGGGGTGGTGGCGACGGTGGCGCACGCGCTGCATCCATCTGGCTCGTGAGCAGCAGCCCTCGTCCGTGGGACCCGAGAATGGGAAACAAACCTCGACTATAAAGCTCGCGCGGAGCCACAGATGTGACCTCCTTTTCGTGGAGGAACGCTCCAAAATCGCCGAGCACCAAGTCCGAAATGAGTTTTCTCAAGCAAACAAGCTGATATTGTTTTCCCCGTTCTCATTTCAAATCGTCGAATGATTTATGAGCCGACTGGCAACGCAGCAAACACAATTAAGTTCCTGGTCGGAATTTCCCGAGAAAAGGGAAAATGCTCTCAACGCCTCCGCATATCTCAAACAGCCACGTTTACGCGGTTTGAATTATCCTGGAAACGTTTCGCTTCATCTGGAACCGTCTGCCGAGAGCCCTCGGTTTCGTTTCTGCGCGCGCGCATGGCCGAGGGTCACCGCAGCGCCCGCCGGCGCTGGCGTCTCCCCCGACGACCGTCGCCATTTACCGCCCCAAGGACGCGTAGACCACGGGTGAAATCGATCACACAGCGAGCACTGTACCTCAACCGGCCGAGACGGTAACAACGGAAGCTCGCAGACACAGCGCCTTGAGAAACAACAAGCAATTAGAACGACGAAATCTGGGAAATGCGCTGCGCGACATTTGTTATGTAAACCAAAACCGGCGTCGACAGACGCACGACTCTTTCCCCCTCACTCAACTCTCACTCTTCATCGCAGCAACGAGAAGAAAGGGTCTTAAACAGAGCGGCGACGGCTTCGAATTACGAGCAGAATAGGACCGCTGAGTCCACAAGGCTGTGACCAACGACCCCTCTCTTCTTCCCCGACTGGCGGAATTGCAGAGACCTCACCGGATGGTTTACTGCAGAGCCGTGATTGGCGGCTGCGGAGATGGCGGCGATGCTAACCCCGGACCAAACTCGCCAACGTTGGCATTACAGACCTGCATTGTTATTATAGTTCTCGTTATGTTGATTGCCGATGGAGATGGCTTGATGAGGAGGGTGGGAAAACCCTTTGTGGAGAAAATGTAATTGGGTCAACCTTGGGAGAGAAAAAAATATGCATCGAGCACAGAAAATAATGAAAGTAAAGCATATTGTAAACTGCCAGATTAATTTGTTTCAAATGAAAAACATTAACATAAGGTAATAATTACCTTTAAAAAAAGCCGAATATCTTAACTTTTCTTCACGAATACATTTTTCGAAATCCATTTTAATACGCGACGATGGCAGTTCATTTAGAAAGTGATTATATAATAAACTCATTTCCCATCACGATTTTAAATGGCTGAACCCAATTAAACAATTGAGAGTGCGACAAGGGGGTGGGAAACGAGGCTTGGCTGTTTGTGGAAAAATGGAACGTTTGCCAACGAACCCTAAAACGAAATAGAAAACCCAAGGTTCTATTCAGGAAGACGCTGGCTTCGTTAAGCACAAACTTAATGAGCCCCCAATTGGGACGTGAAAAATATATACGAGAGGGATTCAGATAAATGTAAGTTCGCAACGTAAACAAGCACAATATTAATTAACTGTAAGCGGTTAAGTATAGCCGCACGTACCAGCTGGAAGCATCTGCCCAAACACTCAATGCATTCACGGGAATAACCGTGTGGCAACGTTACCATTACGGTGATCAACGACACTAATGGATTTTGAGGGTTTATCTCTTCGTGCCGAAGCAGACTTGCGCCTCACAGTGGCTCCGAAATCAGGCTAACAACCAAACAGGCCCTGCGGAGTGGCTTTTCAAAGGATTAAGAAACACAACGAGAGGGCCCAAGCGATGTCTCACAGAAAGAAACGCGTATGTGTACAGTGAGGGGAAAAAACGTATTTGATCCCCTGCTGATTTTGTACGTTTGGCCACTGACAAAGAAATGATCAGTCTATAATTTTAATGGTAGGTTTATTTGAACAGTGAGAGACAGAATAACAACAAGAAAATCCATAAAAAACGCATGTCAAAAATGTTATAAATTGATTTGCATTTTAATGAGGGAAATAAGTATTTGACCCCCTCTCAATCAGAAAGATTTCTGGCTCCCAGGTGTCTTTTATACAGGTAACGAGCTGAGATTAGGAGCAAACTCTTAAAGGGAGTGCTCCTAATCTCAGATTGTTACCTATATAAAAGACACCTGTCCACAGAAGCAATCAATCAATCAGATTCCAAACTCTCCACCATGGCCCAGACCAAAGAGCTCTCCAAGGATGTCAGGGACAAGATTGTAGACCTACACAAGGCTGGAATGGGCTACAAGACCATTGCCAAGCAGCTTGGCGAGAAGGTGACAACAGTTGGTTCGATTATTCACAAATGTAAGAAACACAAAAGAACTGTCAGTCTCCCTCGGCCTGGAGCTCCATGCAAGATCTCACCTCGTGGAGTTGCAATGATCATGAGAACGGTGAGGAATCAGCCCAGAACTACACGGGAGGATCTTGTCAATGATCTCAATGCAGCTGGGACCATAGTCACCAAGAAAACAACTGGTAATACACTACGCCGTGAAGGACTGAAATCCTACAGCACCCGCAAGGTCCCCCTGCTCAAGAAAGCACATATACATGCCCATTTGAAGTTTGCCAATGAACATCTGAATGATTCAGAGGACAACTGGGTGAAAGTGTTGTGGTCAGATGAGACCAAAATGGAGCTCTTTGGCATCAACTCAACTCGCCGTGTTTGGAGGAGGAGGAATGCTGCCTATGACCCCAAGAACACCATCCCCACCGTCAAACATGGAGGTGGAAACATTATGCTTTTGGGGTGTTTTTCTGCTAAGGTGACAGGACAACTTCACCGCATCAAAGGGACGATGAACGGGGCCATGTACCGTCAAATCTTGGGTGAGAACCTCCTTCCCTCAGCCAGGGCATTGAAAATGGGTCGTGGATGGGTCTTCCAGCATGACAATGACCCAAAACACACGGCCAAGGCAACAAAGGAGTGGCTCAAGAAGAAGCACATTAAGGTCCTGGAGTGGCCTAGCCAGTCTGCAGGTCTTAATCCCATAGAAAATCTGTGTAAGGAGCTGAAGGTTCGAGTTGCCAAACGTCAGCCTCGAAACCTTAATGACTTGGAGAAGATCTGCAAAGAGGAGTGGGACAAAATCCCTCCTGATATGTATGCAAACCTGGTGGCCAACTGCAAGAAACGTGTGACCTCTGTGATT